GCTATGTTTTTAACAATGTGGTAACGTTTTTTAAAAATTAAAATTTGCACAGAATTTTAAATTGAAATTTTCAAACAAACGTCAAAGTATGTATTAGGTTAGCCTGGGTTATGTCGAAGCGGTAACGCAAGGTATACATAGGCCAGTAAGGCTCGTTGTGATACCGCCGGAGCTTTTCAGAAACCGGCTTAGCCCTCCAGCATTTACATTTGCCAAAACCAAAAGGATGACTCGGGAAATCTCCGCTTCCTCCTAGCCAAAGCCGGACATGAGAAAAGGACGTGGGCTACCGCCTCCTCCTCTTCCTCCTCCTCCTCCTCGTCACCCAAGAGTTACCCAAGAGTAAAACCCTAAGAGTCGTCCCATGCCTCGCCAGCTCATCTGGCCTTCAGTTTCCTTGGATTCCGCTGTGCCCCGGAACCCAAACCAGGTTAATTTCCAACTGATTCGCAAACTCGTTTAGAAGAAACTTGCAGTCCCCAGACGTTTATAGAAGTAGATGTTTCTGAATCCAACGCCTTTATTGCTGAAAGGCTTTCGATGATGATACTGATTTCCCTGCAGGATTTCACATTGACCAACTCCGCCTGAAAGACGCTGTAATGGTCCGGCAGACGAAAGGAAATATCCATGCCCAGCAGTCCGGAGTAGACCCCCGCTCCAACTCTGTCATCCAGCTTGGATCCATCAGTGTAGAAATGAATGAATCCGCGCTATGTGTTGCCTTCCTCCCACCAGGTTTGCCTAGGTGGTACCGAAGTGCCAAATTTTTTCGTAAATGAAATGGCAGGAGAGACATAGTCGATCCGGCCAGTTATACATTCCCCAGATCGAAATATGGTCGAGTCACCCACGGGACCATTGAACCACTGTGTCACAGCTCTCAAGCCCACGGTCGATTTCACCGTCAGCCGCCTCGCCAGCATCTCGAAGAGCATCTCGAGAGCCTGTGTCGGAGTAGAGCATAGAGCTCCGACACGCACATCATCACGCCTTCCTATGGGCTTTTCTTATCAGTTTTAAATTGACGGAAGCATTAAGTGCAGGTCACCACACCAGATCTCCGTACAGAAGCACGAGCCTGACCACTGGTGTGTATAGCCAGTGAACCATGCGCGGCTGCAGACCCCATTTCTTTCCGATGGCGTCCATACATAAATAAAGCCTCCTTATTCTGTCTGCGATGTTGGACTTCCAGTTTAGCTTAGAACCCAAAATAAGACCCAGGTATTTAGCCTCCGGGGAAAAGCTAAGCCTCGCCCCACCAAGTGTTGGCGGAATCATATTCGGCACCTTGTACTTCTTGGCGTAAATGATCAGTTTCATTTCCTGAGGGTTCATTGTTAACCTGCAGGTTAAGGCATGTAGGTGCTTGCCAGAGACAGCTTCCACCAGATCATCAGCGTAAGCGATCACCTAGTAGCCCTCCTCCTCCAGGTGTCGCAAAATTTGATGTACAACGGGATTTCAGAAAAGAGGCCAGAGCACGCCCCCCCCCCCCCCGAGGGTTGCCTCTCACAAAGGAACGTTCGACACAATGACCCCCCAAAAGCGTCCTTATAGTCCTGGCCAACAGCATGCGCTGTATCAAGCTCGCCATGGATCCATGAATCGACATGCTCGTCAGTGCCACAAAGATCGCCTGCGAAGTGACGTTATTGCAGGCCCCCTCGATATCCAGAGACGTAGCTACTGTATCATCCCTGCTATTCAGAAATCCCTGTTTGTAGCGTACAATAGAATTTACGACCGCCTCCGTCGATTTGCCTCTGCAATACCCATGTTGCTCCGAAGACAACAGACCTGGGTTCAAGTCGTCCCATATGTATACATCTAACATCTTTTCAAAAGTTTTTAATAGAAATGATAGACTGTTCGATCTTTGGACAGCTGTGAGAGTTTTTCCCGGCTTTAGCATAAAAACCACCTTAGCAGCATTCCAGATATTTGGAATGTGGTTTAGGTCTATGCATCCTTTGTGTATGATTTTTAACCATGGAGGGATAAACTCCGTAGCCCTTTGTAATTCAGTTGGCACTTTGTCATCTGGACCTGCCGACTTGAAGGACTTGAAGCTGCGAATAGCCCAAATTATACCTTTTTCCAAGACAACGGCCTCCGCACACGAATCGACGGTCGGCCTGATTCTTTCTTTAACGACCTTCTGCCCCCGAGCTGCAGGGAAATGAGTCGCTTCAGCTGGTCCAAGGACTCCGTAACAGGGCTTGCCCAGTTGTTGCCAGGGGCTAGAAGGTGACTTGGCACGACTGGGTCGCTTGCCAAGATCCTCCTGAGCCTCGGGGCAGCTGCACTCTTTTCAATTTTTCCGCAGAATTCTCTCCAAGAGAGCCTTTGTGCCCTCCTGCACTGTTTTTTTTTTATTGTAGTGTAGAATTTATTGAAAATTTAAAAAAAAAAAAAACAGAACCTGAAAGGTTTTTTTAAATCATTTTTTTAAAGTTTTAATTTCAGTTTAACCCTTTAAAAATGTAAGCACTAATAAAGTAGAAAAAGATTGAACTTTAACTTTTTCTTTCTAATTAAAAATTTGAAAATTTGATCTTATGGGAAATTTATGATGTAAAACAGGTCCCTCTACAGATCCCATAAGAACACGTGTAAATTCGTCAGCTGTGAACTGTCACTGTCTTTTAGGGTCCAGGTGGTGTACTATGTAGTGCTACTTTCTCTAAACGATTCTCGCATTTTAAATTTTGACACTATGTAAATCGAAAATCGCAAATTTGCGTCTGCGAAAGTAGCAAAAGTGGTACTACAGAATGCTACTTTCGCATACTTTTCATTCATTTGCCATTTTGTTTACGAATCTTATTGCGAAAATCTAAGTTTTTGAAAAAATAAAACTAAACAATGTAAGTGTTATATTTATTTTGCTATATTAATTTAAAAAAAACTTGCATTTCAAATTCACTGCAATTAACTAAATTTTTGTAATTAGTAACTATAATTATATGTAGGTCAAAATAATATACAAAACTATTCCGGTTTAAGAAAATAGCAAAATAGCACTAATTTTGTGCTAACTAACGTTAAACTTAAATTTGTTTCGCTTCTTTTTTCTCGATTTTACTCCTTTCCAGTTTTATTTTTATGAGAGTGAACTTTCCATCTATAGGCTTACAAACTTCGGTTATAATAAGTAACAATGGTTTGCTGAGCAGGAACAGTACTTAAATCTTAATCTGCATAAAAATCTTTTGCTATCCATATTTGTTTAAAAAATTAACAGCAATCGCCTCCTTGTTCCTTAATATTATATAATATACATTTAAATGTATGATTTTTTTTGAATAATTCAAATGCTTATTTTGAAAAAACTGTCAGAAATGCCAAAAACAAAAATTTTACAAAACGCTACTACTCAAAATTTTTTACGATGCAATTTTGTTGCACAGTGCCAAACGATTCGAGTCGAATACAAATTTGGACCATTTTTATTCGATATTGCTCTGATACGACATTAAAAATTTTTTAATAGTTTTTTTTTGACTGGTTTTACTGATTTTTGAAAGGAAATCAATAATGAATTCTTTGTAGTTAAAAACACTAGTCAGTAGATTTTATTTTCTTATTACTAAAAAATTGAATTTTTTTTTTCGTTATTATATTCTGTTATTTGTTCTTTTTTATTTTAAACTTTGTTACTTTTTAAAAAGGAAGAACAGGTGAATTATGATATAAAACAGTTTGTCTAATTCACTTTTTGTTTCCATTTGTTTTTTATTATCAAGCGACCATTCGAGTTGCCATAAATTTTTGGAACCAAAATTTTACTACAAAAAGATTTATTGAAGTATGTAAAATTAGTGAATTAAAACAAATAAAGAAACTTCATTTTTTTTTACTTTTTTAAATTAGCTTATAATAGGTAATTAAAATAGGTTCTAATATTTTATTTATTAGACCTTTATACCCTATTTTTCATCATAAAACTAAATTAATATATAATTATTAATTAATATTGATCTAAATGGAATTTTTATTTTTATACATGTGCAAAATTTTTCTTTATACTTTGGATATACTTAACGATACATAGTAATAGTTTCAATCTTTATAATTAAAAACTTTTTTCAACAAGTTTCTAACTTCTTATTTAAACTCAGTCAGTTACCTTTTTAAAAAGGTTTTTGGAATATTAAAAGTACAATTATTTAACAAACACTAAAATATTGTGTACATGTTCACCAACAAGTTGTTTGCCAATCTAAAACTATTATTATAATTTAAGGTTTTGAAAACCATGTATTTCTACATTTCGAAGGTTTTGTTATTCTTACATAGTCTCAGTTTTTGAAAATTTTAGCTGTTTGACTGAAGCATGCTTGTAGCGTATTTTTATTAATATGAGCTTGCCTTTTGACATTACAAAAAATCATTATTGCTGCAGTTGTAATCAGTATTTCTGTCAGCCGTGCTTTTAAAGTTGTTCGTTGAGGGAAGTTTGCTAAACTTTTACGTTCATATTAAATTGCAGAAATATAAGGGAAAATTTAAAAAGAAATAGGTATTTTCCAAGTGACTTCACGGTATTGACAGTTTTTGACATTGGCAGATTACTTTTCCCATACTTTTCATTCAAATAGAACTTGTACGCCTATAAACAATTTGCTAGCAAGAGGAATGAAACGTATGTCAATCATTTATGCAAAAGTCGTCGTGCTAACAAAAGTATCTTTAGTTTTTAACTAATAAGATGTGCAGTGCTCTATTTTTCTCAATAACTCCTAAAGCGCGTCAAACTTGTTAAAAAAACTAAATATTTACAATCTTTCCATCAAAGATTTTTCAATGCTTCTTCAAAACGCTGTCAAAATACCAAAAATGCTCTTGAAATTTGACAAATTATTTGACATTAAAAATGGTAATATCCTTACACTGCCAGTTATTTTATAACATTTGCCAGCACCGTAAGCACTGTGAACACACTGTTTAGCAGCTGTCTGATTTGATTCTTTCAAACAAATTGTTGAATTCCCACTTAGTAAAATATAATATCACACAAGTAAAAAATTTGACATAATTTTATTTTTATTTTACATAATTTAACATTGGAAACCTTATAAAAATTTTTTTGTGAAAATTTTAAATTTAAAAAGAGTTTTAATATACTACGAATAAAATAACTAGGAAATCAGTATTAATTATTTTTAGAGGTGTTTAACATCTTACTGGAATATTAGATAAAATATAGTTAAAGTTTTGTTCCATTGGTAATTTTTTATTTTGTGTATATTTTCACATTCAAACATTGCAGGTAATAGTCAGGTGAGATAATGAGTAAGCGAATAAAATCGTAGTAAATTTTTTTCGTTTTATGTTAAGTTGGTTCTTTGCCTGAAAAGTATTTTAATATACATATGCTTGCATTGGTGATCTAAAAAGAAACAAAAACTATAAATTTAGTAAATATAAAAGAATAATTACATATGTGCTTTTTTATTTTTTAGTTCAACAAAGTATAAAGAAAATTTTGTGTTTGTAATATACAAAATAAGTAATGCTTTACTTACCAGGAAAACAAGTTTCTTGATATGAAGCTAAATGCCTGTAAAAGTTGAAGCTTCTACTTCCTATTTCATCCATATTTATTTTCCATGCAAAAATTTTTTTTAAGTTTAAGAAAATTTGTACGTAGTTCAATTGGTTATCCATATTCGCAATTCACAAGAATGCATTAATTCATAATAGTATTTTCTATATATTAATTATGCTCTATTTAGCTTATAATATGTGTATCATAATTCACTCTGTGGGATATACAGGTACTTATATATTATGTATGTATGTACAGTCCCATCATTAAAATTTATGTTCTTTTAATATTTATGCAGGTCAATATTTGAATACAATATATTTAACAAATTTTTTTTGAAATATCTTAGTTTTTATCAACACAATCATTATTTTAATTTTCTTTTAAATTAATTTAAAAATTACAAATATATATTTCTTGAATGCTGTTCATATTTTAATTTACATCATGGTATAAATATTAACAAGGCAAATATTGCTATTGGTTTTTAACTCCCCAAAATTATTTCAAATAAATGAACCATGTAGGTTCTCAATTAGAATAATTTCAATAATTTGGCTTATTTTGAATTCTTATTTCAAGTAGTCTTTTTCATCCCGTTTAAACAACGGTGTATCCCATTCAAACAACTTTTTAAAATTAAAGGAGCATTTTGCTCAAACTTAAATTTAAGCACACATTAATCTTCCCTTTTGAAGTAGACAATGTATTTATACATTTCGTTTCTTAAATAGGAATTTTTACATTTAGTTTTTCCAATTCAAGGATATATAGGCATATGTGTACAGAGTGTTCGACACTCAATGGAATTCCCGAAGCAGGGTGATAGAATGACTTCAGACGACAAACACCTAATGACATTTTTTTTTTTGACCCTTGTTCCCGAGTCATGAGGCTTCAACGTTCGAATATGGAAAAAACCCTCTAATTTTCACATTTTTATATATTACTTAGGAAATATGACAGTTAAATCCAACTGTGAATATGCAAAACCGTATAATTTTCACATTTTTATTTATTACTCAGGAAATATGACAGTTAAATCCAACTGCATATGTATATGTACTCATTTTAAAGCTAATAAAATTCTCCCTCTTACGGTATAGCAGTAGTTGCAAAGCTTTGTTTTAGTTTCAGAGATATTCGAGTCCAAAGTCAAAATTTTTCAAAATGATTACTAAATTTTCGTGAAACCGTCAATTACTCATAATTCCACCTTATTAACGTATCGCTCCTTTTTACAGGAAAATGAGCCCTATGTTCTGACCTTCATTTTGATATAACAAAATGGGAAAATTTCGGAAATAACATTTCTATCATGCAAAAAACTGAGGTCAAAACTTAAAACAAAGTATTTTATTAACTTAAACAAAGTATTTTTCAAACGAAAACAATTTTTGAATCTTTATTTTGCAGTATTATGCATTATTAATATGTATTTTTTGCATTTCCTTTATTTCTCTACAAAATATTTCCAAAAGTTTCAGGAATATGGTGTCTACGAGGGGAATTTAAGATCAAATTTATAAAAAAACAACAAAAACAAGCTTTTTCGCAACAAATTATGTAATTATAATCCAAGTAATGTTATCCCTTTGATCTTCAGGGTTATAATGATCTTAAGATATAGCAGTGAATGATTTGAGCCATAGGTACAGCATTTTTGAAATTTTACAAAACTCAAAAAATTTAAACAAAAAAAAACAAAAAATTTTGACTTTGACATGCATACAGCACGTCACAAAACTAATACATATGTAAATGTATTCACAATTTAAAAATTTTTTTGTTTAATGGAAATTTGTCGTGATCTCCTTTTATATTTTTAATGTCAAAAAGAAATTATATTTTGAAAAATCTTGAAAAAAAGTTTTTTGTATTACAGAAGAGAGGCACCATTTTGAACTATTGTACATTTTTTTAAATCATTGAAGAAAAAAATTTGGTGCAAAATAAGATGTGCAGTGCTCTATTTTTCTCAATAACTCCTAAATCAGAACATGTATAAAGGTGACCAAACATACCAAATTAAAGGTCAGTAGACGAGGTTGTGCAAAAATTGGAGAAAGCTCCCGTGTTACGTCACCTAGAAAATTAACCTTTTTTAAAATAAAAAGTTAAATGTTCAAATTTTTTGAATTTTAAAGTTATGTGATTCCGAAATCTGAACAGATAATTATGAGAACTAATGCTAATTATATACATATAGGTGTCAGAAAGTACGAGTACTTCTCGAAGAGCTAGAGATATGGGACAAAAGGCACTACATAGATAGGGTTTTGCCTCCAGGGTCCTAGAAAAATGCAACATTGGAAGTTTTTAGCCCCGAAATAGCTGTATTTTAAGATTTTCTGAAAAAATTTTTGTATAAAACATGCACGTTTTTCTTTTATATTTAATATATTTAGAAATACAAACCGAGAAATAAATGATACGTTTTACGTTATTCTTATTATTACAAACACAAACCGAGAAATAAATAATATATGATCTCACATATTTTTGGTTCGAAAAATCGAAATAATCTTAACATAAATAAATGTCAGCTTTTATCAAAGACATCAGATGTTTTGTGGCATCTGAATATTAATGCTTCATTTGTTATTGTTTTGAATAATATTATGTTTCGTCAGCAAGCTTTAAAAATATATACATACAAAATTTATGTACGTACATACATATGTACTTAAAATTTCATTTTTATTGTTCGAGCGAAAAACTCCAAAATGCTAAATTCTAATACATTCATATGTACATTCATATATTTGAATAACATTATTATTTTGTTTATGCCTAAACCTTTTCTTTATTTGAAAAGTTTATTTATGTATGTTTTCCCCGATGATTTAATAATTATGTGTTTAAAATTTTTTTCTATATGCCAAACCACAGTATTGAATATTATTCAATTCATATAGAAAACTTAGAAAAATTAGCTAAGAAGCTTTTAAAAAAATATACATACATGCTTATGTACTTAAAATTTTTGCGAATTTTTCCAAACTATTATAACAATATTTTTTTGGAAATTTTTTTTAAACTTTTATAATAATATTTATCTGTTATATATTGAAAAAAATAAAACAAAAAATTTAAACAAAATACAATCAAAAAAAAATTAAAATGATCCAAAAAAGAAAAATACGACAATATCGATCAATCATATAATAGCCTTCTGGTTATCAGACTACCACGCTACCCACCGGGTTACGCAGTACTCTAAATTTGCTTTTATAATTCTATACTTTATTTATATATATATATACATTATATATAATACTTCAAGAAGGGTTAGAGACATGGGACGAAATAAAGCATTATATAGGCTTTTGCCTCTAGGGTCCCAGAAAAAGCATTAATTCCACCCTTCACCCCTTCCCAAGATGTTTTGTGACCGCTTTTTACAAAATGGTACCACATCCTGTATGGGTAACTTTTATTTTGTTTTGGTGGTATAAGTATTCTATGTAAATTGTGTTTTGGAAATTTGAGTTATAGCAAGAGGTGAACACTTCCTCAAGAAAATCGTTAAAGTTAATACAATCTACATTGTTTTACAATAAGTATTTAAGTACGCATTTAGTTGTGCATTCTTTTCACTATCTGGTGAAAATGTATTAGTAAGCGAAACATAAGTGTACAATAAATTTCATGACAACATATTTTTTGGACAAAATTTAATGAGAAAATGTTATTCTATTGCGTTAAACTTTTTACAAATAGGGTTTTTTAAAAAAATATTTTGAACGGAAACTCGCTGATATTGATTTGTAAGGGTAAAGCCTTTTTAATTTCATTTTAAATAAGAACAAAAAAAACTAAAATTATCAATAAAAAAAAGTTTATCTAACAAACCACATTTTTCGGGGTTCGAACCTGAGACTTTTTGCATAGAAATCGTATGCTATACGCATTACCCTATAGTATTAGTATTAACTAATTGTACATTCACGCGTTTTATTCGCATGTGTTATAACATCCAAATACATATGTGCATGGATTTTAGTAGCGAAATATTTTATGCGTAAACAGTAATTGATCGCTTAAAGTGCTTACTGTCAAAGATTTTTTGCAATTTTATGCGACCTGACTAAAAGCGGGGCTCTAAAATAAATTACTCAAAAGATATTAGATCTCAAAGGAGCTAATTTTTTGTTTAATTATGTACTTTTTTGTAATTATTTTTAAGAGCTTTTCTTATTTTATGTTTTATCTTATAAAATATTAGGAAATAACATATACGTATAAGTATATGACGGGTGTGTTTTTGAAGAAAAATAGTAAACTTAAAATGTCTCACACACAGAATGGATCACAATCTTAAAACTACAGATATAATATAAAACTACAGTTCCAAATCATATTTAATAATGTACCTGTCTATAAGCTTATACAGGGTGTCACGTATCAAAATGCACTGCTATATACCATTTTATAGGTTCTCATGGGTAGGCAAAAGTTTTGTATGGAGACCGTGTTAACGGAGGCTTAAACTTCATCCATTTTTTCACATTCATTCTTATTTTCCAGTACACTGAAAAATATCGTGTACAATGTTATTATTTACTAAAGAGCATGTTTGTTTTGTTGAAGAGTTATTTGTTTAATTTTATTGTTAATTAAAATTGCACTTATAAACAACATTACCTGTTAAATAATAAATAACAAAAATAAAGTCGCCCCTTGAATTCCCCCCTCCCCCTTTTCAGCATTTCTTATAGTTCAAACGAAA